GGATGGTAGCCTTTGACCTTGATAACATATGTATGTTCGCTATGAAAGTTCTTCTGCAACAAAGAATAGGAATACCTATGGAGGCTATGGGTAAATCATCAAGTCCTTCTCTGACCTGTCCACTGTGTACATTTAATGAATACGAGTTACTTAAACATCTCGGTAGGGCCCGTCAATTGCTTTTTAGGATGAGATTAACTAACGATGTGTTTGTTTTCTCTAAGTATCAGAAGGGATCACAATATGGAAGAGTGTTAGCAGAAAAGAGATTATGCAGTTTCAAGGACTGCTATCACAAGAATTTGGTACTTGAGGTGACCAGTACGCATGATACGTGGGATTTTCTGGGCTGTGTCATCAAGGTGTTTAAAGAACCTTGCATGATATTATGTTCCGCAACCTATAAGAACGAACATTATGTCATCAACAAAAGTGTCATTTTTCGGAATTTGCAAGATTTTTCCTCCTGTACTGATAAACAGCGGAAGATGTTTATCATTACCGCATATCTGCATATGGCAAAAGCAGTAAGAACTATGCCCGGAGCTAATGCCTGTTTTCTGTTGACATTGAAGATGGAACCACAAATCAGAGGCTTTCCCGATTACTACTTCGACAATAACCTTAGGAATTTTTTGGCATGGATGAACAATTGTTGAAGAAGATGGGTCTTGTGCTCCACTAATTGGAAATGAAACTCTGGCCGAGAGGAGGGCATTTGGTTATCTGTCTTATTTGTCTTTACGGGTCCTTTTCTGTCTTTTGGTGTTAAGGTTCCCTCGCTAAGAGGAGGACATTTGGCTATTGGGCTATCTAATTTATTTTCTGTTGGTGTTTCTTTTGTTTTTCTACTTTTGGCTATCTGGTCTATTTGTCTTTACAGTCCTTTTCTGTCTTTTCCTGTTAGGGTGGGCCTTGACCATGCGATCTATCGTCGTAATACTGAAAACTGTATTTTGGGGCTATTGGACTCGAGAGACAGGATTTGAACCGGTAACCTTGTTTTTTTTTAGGCCCAACGGAGGCTGAAGTTTGTTATTGTTTGGACCATTCCGGTAGGTAACCGAGAATTCAAGCTAGTTTCTCCTAGGCCATTCAAGATTGAATTTCTTCTTCTTTCAGGTCATAGGGCTTGTAGTAACTCTTGGAATTTTGGCAACCAACGTATGTGTACCTTAGTAGCTTCGCTATCTTCATCCTGTGCTAGGTATCACAACCCTGATGAAACCGGACAGGCAACCGGCGGAAACACGGTGTTGGGTCTTTTCACCTGACATTGTTGATCTTCATTGTTTTTATCTTTCGAAATTACCTGCGCACTGTTCTCTCTTTTTTCCTCCTGAGTAGTGTGCTTTTACGTATGCTGCTTTTCTGTATTCATACGTTTGTGTTTGAATCGTCGTGATGCTGCTTGTGCACAAAGGGGACATGCTGGCTTGACAAAGGCTAGGGAACTATTACTGCCTAGGCTGAGCGGTGGTTCTGCACTGAGTGGGGCACTAAATCGCACAGACCGGTGTTGTACTTGCTCAAAGTGGTGTTGCTGACGCTTGGTCCGGTGGTGTTTTTTTCAGTGGCAATTTCCCCTCCTCCGGGTTCGCAATGCTTCCTTTTATCAATGTGCTGCTGATTCTGTTATGTTTGGACAAGGTGCTGCTGTTTTATTCAGACTATGTAGTACTGCTCTGATGAGACAAGGTGTGGCAGTCCCTGTTGGAAATGGCACCACTGTTCTTTTTAGACAGTTCCTGCTGTTCTCTTTAGACAGTTGCTGCCACGCCTATCAAGCCAAGCAGTTACTGATACTCGGGAGAAGCTGTTGATTGTCATCAGGCTCCTGCTCGTCAGACGTGAATTGATGGAGTAAGGAGTCCCTGTTTCTTGATAAGCCATGGAGCAATGCCAATGGATCAAAGATCTCAAGCTGCTGTTAGGTCTCAGCAGAAGCTATGGTTCATCTTCACTCCGCAGTCGTGGCTTCAGTTTGCTGTTGTGGCTTCGGACATCTGCTCTTGACTTCGGTTTATTGTCATTCACTTCGGGTTGTTGTTGCCACTTGTTGGACTTTAGGCCAGTACTGCCGCTTCTCGGTAGAAAGACAGTTATTGTCAGGTTTGGAGTACTGCAGTTTTTGGGCCTAAGGAGCATTTGGTTTCTGCTGCAGGGGGTTGCTGCTTCTTGGCCTCAGCAGCAGGGGGTTCCTTCTATATTGAGCTGTTGTTTTTCGCATCAAGAGGAAAAGATGTGTGAGGAAAATAAAGCTCGGACTGGGGAGCTTGGGATGCGCTGAGGCCTGTGTCACCGCTGCTGTTGCTGAGAGCAGGTATCGCTTCTGCGGTTCAAAGTGCTGTTGTCCTGTGTTATCAGCGGCAACTATTTTCTGCAGTCGAAGTGCTGTTGTTTCCTTTTTTTTTTTTTTTTTTTTTTTTTTTTTTTTTTTTTTTTTTTTTTTTTTTTTTTTTTTTTTTTTTTTTTTTTTTTTTTTAAGCGTTGTTGTTTCCCATGCTCGGCAACGACTTTCTTTTCTGCAGATTAAAGTGCTACTGTTCTTTATGCTCACCAGCAGCCGGTTACTATGGTTCAAGTGTGGTGCGGTGGTGTGTGGCGGCGGTGTGCGGTATTGACCGGAAGTAGGGTGAGTAGAAGCTCCAAACCGAAGGACTTCACTGCAATTGTGGCGCCCTCAAGACATGAAGGCACCAAGGCCCTCTCCGTGCTAGTCTGAGTTACCTCCCCCTGGTACCTTGAGCGACTAAAACTTTCTCTATCTGCCCTTCTTCCTCTCAGACTGGTCCTTGGTTTAGGAGAAGAAGGCAGCAGGTGGGATTGCAACCCACGAGAAAACATCAAGGCCTGGTGGGGGGTTGGCCCACTGATTGCGGGAGTTCCGCCGGGGATTCTTGAGACAAGGAGCTCACAGGTAGGGTCCTATCCTTTTTACACCCTTCCAAAAAAAAAAAAAAAAAAAAAAGCGCAGACTGGGCGTATCAACACATGCTAAAAAGCACTCCCTTAGCTCTTAGGTACACCAGGAGCACATCAACATGGAAAAAAACAGCAAAATTCCAAGTGTATGAAATATAAAACACATATAACATGATAACATAATAACACAATGACAATAAAAGAAAAAGAAAAGAGGAATTTAGGGAAGTACATTTATGTCACATGGCACTTCGTAACGGGCATAAAAAACAGGCATCGGCAACTTTGTCATGGCCTGAGTTCGAAAAGGCGGTAGTAACTCCAACCGGCAGTGGTGTCAGGGTGACAGTTTCGTTAAGGCGGTTGTGTTTTTTTTTTTTTTTTTT